TACCAAGCTCAAAGTATCAATACTAAAAAATTTCCCAAAGTTTCTCAGTATCGATACCCAACCCTCAGTATCACTATTGCATGAATCTGCCTTGATACCAATCCTTTAAAAACCCAAATTTTTAAGGCTATATTCATACAATATCGAAACCAACCCCTTAAAACCCAAAATTTTAAGGTTATATTCATACGGTATCAATATTGTTCATACAATATTGATATTACAACTCAATAAACCTAGAATAAGGCTAAAAAATCACATCAAAACACTAGTTTTAAATTCCTACAGGATTCTTAAGGTTATGAGTATTATTGAGGCATCATCTAACATCATTTTTAACATCTTTTATCATCAAATCATCATTAAAATTATTAGAACATGCTTAATACTCAAAAACACTCAACATGCATCGTACTAACGAGCAAGATATCAAATTTATGAAACACAATAAATAATTAATAGAAATAAATGTACCACCTTCAACTTAGCAACCAAAAGAAGCTCCTTTACTTAACTCTCACCAACCTTTCCTTTCACTTTGCACTAGAAGATCCCTTCTTTCACTAATCAATAAGCACCAAAATGAGGTACAAATCAAACACAAAGTTAAATATAGCTAAACAAGGGGAAAATCTATCATGGATTTCCCCAACGGGGTAATTATGCTTTTAGTCCCTAACCATTCATCTTAAGTTCAAAAGTTCCTTTTTATGACCAATTAAAACATTGATGTCACTTTGTTCGTGCATATTTATACATTATAAAAAATGAATTTAAATAAAATAAATAAATTTTATTTAGTAAATAATAATTTGAATCATATTAGTATAAATTTTCCAAATTTAAGCTCAATAAACGGTAAGTTGAGTCTACTTAAATACTACAGATTAAGTTTATTTAAGATATTTACATCCCTTGTGTTAATATGTTGTACCCAAGTGGTTCAAGTATATAATGAGACGATTAAGCTCAATAGACGGCCTAATGCGGGATCTATCTTTTTTTTTAGTATCTTTATTTAAATTTAAATAAATATATTTCTCGTTTTAATTTCTTTCTTGTTGTATATTCTTAAAACATTTATTTTTTATTTTATTTTTATGATACGATTTTTCCTATTATTATGATAATTTTGCATTTCGTCTTGCATTCATCACGACATACCTTCTAATTAGAAAAAATAGATGGTTCCGTATAGTTAGATCTCTTTTGGGGCGCGGAGCAATCTGTAAGATTTTTTTCTTTCAATCTTCACACCTTCATCAATAGTGCGTAGAGGTTCAAATACAGACTTAGAGATTATTGATAGTTGTTAGATTTTTCTGTAAGATAATATATTAAGGGAATGTTTAAATTGTATTCCTCTTCAGACTCTTTGAGTTTACATGTTAAGAGCACTAAGAAATCAAAAACCATATCTTAATTTATACAAGTCCTCTTTGATGTGGATTAAGTTTCAAACAAGAAATGCAAGAGGAAGACTGCAATATTGGTGAATGGGGTACACATGATCCGTGAGGGAACCATGTGGCGGCGGAAGGAGACATAGTCTATCTCAATTTTATGGTTTAATTGTATTTTAAGTCCTTAAAAGTTTTGAAACCATTAAAATTAAGTCTTGACCCTGTTAAAGTTTTTTGGTTTAATTATTTTTAAGACATTATCGGTTTTAAATTTAAATGAAATTAAGTGTCACCTCTTAAGTTTTTTTGTTTAATTACTTTTTAGGACATGATAATTTTGAAATTAGTGAAATTATACCTTAATCCTCTATTTTTTTACGATTTAATTACTTTTTAAAACCTTGTTAGTTTTAAAGATAAACAACTTGACCCTTCCATAATTTTATCTTAATTCCGTCATTGCACATGATTCTTGAGTGTCGTCGAGTGGAGCAAAGAAAGGTTACTTAAAAGCATCCGTTAATTTGACGTTTCTTACATCACTCACCAAACCTCACGTGTCTACATCTCCACTTCATGCAACTTGTATAAACATCTTTCACATCCATTTAACCTAAATCTTTAATGTTAATCTCAAACAAACTTAAACGAAAAATGGGTTGATCTTATTTTCTCATGTTCTGCCATGTCCGACAATTAAAAAGGCATCGAAGATGGTGCTGGAAAAGTAGGAGATAACCATTTTATTAATTTAGAATAAGTACGATACAATATATGTTCAAAGATAATTTTTAATTATTTGACATTAAATGTTCACATCCCTTATATATATATATATATATAGTGTTCAAAGGTTACTTGTTTCGTGAAAAGATAACCTTGAGGTCACCGTGCGTAAATGAAAAGGAAAAACAAACAGGCGATGTCCAACGCAAAAGATAGAGCTAATATTGATGGTCGGTTCTAACTTATATAACTTAACAATCCTAATTCTAAACAATTAAATTACTTAAATTAATTATTATTTTAATAAAAAATATAATTTAATTATAATTCTATTAAAATTATAATAAATTTAAATAAATGATTAATTTTAAATAAATCCTTATATTTTTTTAATATTTATATAATAGGATAAATTTACTTGTGGTACATTTCGATACATCGCTTTAGTGATACATTACGGTATGCGACGTGCGCAGTATACTTATCCTTGTGTGTTGATATACTATGTATAATGATGTCTGATATGTCTTCTGAACAAAATCGAATCTATGTGGCTATATATGTGTATCCTAGGTGTATGAATTTAAGATTGATTATTCATAATTTATGTTATTTAGTAATGATATTTATGGTTATCTTGTCGATTTCAATATACAATTGGCATATCAAAGTATCTGATTAAGTTGAAATTTAAATGGTAGTTTTAAAATGTATTTAGTTTCACAAATGAACTAGAAAATTTAAAATATTAAATTTGGTATCATAAATTTGTTAAGACTTTATAGTTAGGTCCCTAAATTTAATAATTATATAATTAAGATAGGAATTGAAGTCCGATTTGAGAAATTCGTATGCTACCTACGAGTATGTACATTGTGATTTTTTTGTTTAGGTTTAAGGGTAAAGTACACAAATGGTCCATTGACTATAGGATATTGCTTTATTGATTCCTTCAACTATTAAAAGTTACAAAATGGTCCCTCGACTGTAGGGAGTTGCTTTGTTAGGTCTCTCGACTGTAGGGAGTTGCTTTGTTAGGTCCCTCGACTATTACAAGTTACAAAATGGTCATCCAACTATTCATTATGTTTCAAACTCTTCCTTTTTCGTTAAAAAATTAACAGCAGCCTAAGATGGACATTAATCTATTGACTGTGATATGATAAAACATGATGATCTCATAATCTCAAACGATTATAATATCTCATTCAGTATGTTTATATCTAGCTCAGATGACTGTTAAATTTTTAACGAAAAAGGACAAGTTTGGAACAAAATAAATAGTTGGATGATCATTTTGTAACTTTTAATAGTTGAGGGACTCTACAAAGTAACTCCCTGTAGTCGGAATACTATTTTCTAACTTTTAATAGTCGGAGGATTCAATAAAGCAATATCTTATAGTTGGGGGGACCATTTGTGTACTTTACCCTAATTTTTAAGCATGATTTACGTGAGAGGTATGAATTTTCTACTTTACCCCTATGATGTATTTACTTGCTCGACTTAGTTTGAAAACAACACTAAGAATTGTTTGTCTACTTCTGCTATTGAATGAAAATTAGTTTAACTCGGTTAATAAGAAAATAATAGGATCAAGTTCAGGTATGTTCTATTTCGGGGTAACTTGAGTTGCTTATGTAGAGATTGATATCTAAGTCAGACCATCTCGATCGGATGTCGAACGTTACAAACAACTCAATGATTTTATTTCATATATTTTTACACCTTTCAACTCCAAGGATTGCTTATAGACACTTTGTGTGACGCTTTCCATCACAACAGTAGGCTTGGCTCAACGGTGTCCCATGAGAACATTCAACACCCCATTCAAGCTTATATCCTATATGTGCATAGATGCACATACATACACCTGCATGTTTGTGTATTTCAACTAAATATTTTACTGGGTACACTTGAACTATGTAAAATTATATTTGATAAAAAAATTATCGAAATGTAAAATTATTTAATATATTCTGATATATTTATATTTTAAGTTTAATTCATTTGGTTTGAATGTATACACTTTTTTTAATAATATAATTTATTAAATTATTTTTAATCATGAATAAAACTAAAAGATTATTAAATTATATGAGTAAAAATTAACAATGATTTTTTAAAAAAATATTATGATGATGATCACTTATAATAATTAATTAATTAATTAAAAATTAAGGTAAGTAAATGTCAAAATGTATTATACTACACAAATATTAAATTTGTTTTTGACGATGATGATTAATGATTGACAGTTTTTAATAATTTGAAATTAAAATATATATTCAATCTCACGTCCTTATATATAAACAAAAATTTATTGAAGTAAATTAAGAATAGGATTAAATTACCAAAAATGGCACATTACTTAGATAGTATGAAATCATTCTAGACTAAATTTTATCATTAGTCTTTTATATTATTTATAAGTTGTAAATTTAGATCTTTGTATTTTGATTTAGTCAATCTTAGTCCGTATACTTTTAAAATTTTAAAACCCAATCATAACCTAAACAATACATAGACAATATGACTATTTTATGTAATTAATATGATCAAATTAAAGAACAAGAACCAAATCTACAATTTATGGATAATACATGAATTAACACCAGAAATTATTTAATTGTTATTGTTTGGATGATGACTAACATTTCAAGTTTAAAAAAATAAAACTGGAAATACCAAATTAAAACGCATGGCTTAAATCCACAACTCATAATACATGAAATAATAGAAGAATTTGACCAATAAATAAATGGTACTTAGATTAACGGCTCCCTACATCATAAGTAACATAACCAACACCAAACCTTACGAATGTGAAAAAATTATTGCAGCGTTGCTAAAATTAAGGTTTTGCTTTTCATCAAATACAAAAAAGAAAAAAAAAAGGTCTGTCTCCTTTTTGGAGGAACATGAAAAACCATGAACAAGTGATCAACGCTTGACCCATTGGAAGCTCTTCCTTGCTTTCGCCTTCCCTATTTTTTCCTTTCCACCACACGTGAATCCCTTGTCAAGAACCCAGCTGGTACCACACATGATATTTTTTAGTTTAGTTATACCAGGATCATAAGATCTCAATACAATTCCAAATATCACCAACAAAAAGACCTTGCCAACTCTAAAGACGTCGGTCTAGTCGAATATAATTGTATGAACAAAGACACACGACAACGCAATTGTAAACGAGGTAATACCAGCTCTGAGGGCAGGACGTAGCTCTGGCTCAAAATTTTGCAAAGCCCTACTGATTCCCAACTGAATCGCTCCCACTTGACCTGTCACAGCATATAGATGACTTAACTTAAAACCAGAAGATAACAAGTCGGTTACATTTCAACTTAGGCAAAAGGGGTTTCAAGTTTCAATGTATAATTAAGCTAAAGTAATCATGGCATTTATTAGGCAAAAGGAGGGAAAGTGGAGGGGGTTGAGAGGAGGAGCGGCACGGCGGGGTTTTGGAGGAAAGGAGGGGTAGAAGACGGAGATGGGAGGCTCTGCGGAGGAGACGAGACAACATTGGGGACGACGCAGGGTTTTGCGAAATAAGGAGGGAAGGGAGGCAAGGTCTTTCAGATTTTTATTTGGGGCAGGGTTTTAGAAAGTGGGGATTTTTCGACCCGACCCGCTCCAATTGGAATATGCTTGGACCAAATAAGCCCAAAGATAATAAGATGGGCAAGTCTAAGAAAAAATAGCTTAAATTAATTGAATTAATTAAAATTTCAGACCAATTGATAAAATACACAAGTAATAGGGATTAAATATGTAAGTAATTCCGTGGGTATATATATATATATGAGTTAATTAGGGATAATAATTTAAATTATATTTCTTATCTGATAAGGAATTCAAAATCAACTAGATATTTAATATTATTATTTAATATTATTTCTGAATTAAATAAAGAAATTATAATAAATAAAATATTCTTTTAGAAGAATACGAATTTAACTTTTTTAAATTCAAATAATAAATAATCATTTACAATATAATTTAAAATAATCTTATTATCTTAAATTGTTATTAAGAGTGATAATCACAACCATTCTTATTCGTTTTTTGGTGTACAATCCTACAGGGTTAATTAACATTGGCAGTAGATAATTATACGTGATCCTACAAATCATAAATGACCTCAAGTAAAATATTATGACTACCCAAATTAAATGAAAAGTTCATGATCTAAAACAACTTTAATACAACTCAAATCATAATCTTTTATCTCACGATATATTAACAGAATATAAGACATGGAAAAATTCAACTTTATATCTTTTTATCTTCAATTTTTTTATGCCCAATTGAACTGACTAAGCAAATGACATTGATTTTCATCAACTCATTTAAGCACAACCATACATTTTTCAATCTCAAACATCGAGGGACCCTAAGATATTTTTTATGACAAGATAGATAAATTACATCATAACTATCCATATCTCACTACATGATTCTTGTCATGTTCAAACATAACTTTTATAATCGTCTCATTAAAGATAATGTTTGACTATGTCAAAACATAATAATCATTATGTTGATAACTGTGGTAATTCCTCGACTAAGGATTTAATGACATAACTGTCGAAGATTAACATATGACATTGATCCATGTATTAATCTCAAAATAAGTGGATCTAATATATGTTCTCAACAAATACATATGAATTTGATTCGAATATCATTCACATATTCATTTTATGAATATTTATCAAACTTCTTATTAATTAGAACAATAGTAATCAATAGAAATATTTAGAATAATTAATAATAATATTTAAGGATATTAATATACGAATAACGTATAAATTATGAAAATAATAAATTCAATAATCAAAATATCATTCTCTTACAATAAGCCTAGGGCACTATTGTTAACAGTAATAAACTTTTATTTTGGTTTCAACCGACCCACACGGGTCAACAACGACCCGATTTTACCCGCCCGTGGACATACAGTACCAACCTAGTCCTGTAACATTGAAAGACCGCCAACGGGTCAGACCCAGCATAAGAGCCAGCCTATTCATGCCTGACCCACATCCAACCCATGAAGCTCCCTACCCGCGCTCCTGATCTGATCCGGAGCTTTTGACCCACGTTTTATCATTCTTTTGGGATATTTATGTTTTAGTCCCCATATTATGTTATTATTTTAATTATGTATTTTTTCATGTTCTTTGCTACTTTGACTTATTTGCTTTCTGTTTTTTTATCCATCCCTTAGCATTTCATGGAATGTTATTTTCATATCTTTATTTGTTTCATTTTATTTTATTTTATTTTATTTATTTTCATTATTGTTATTAACATTTTTTGGAGTGTCACTTATGGGTCATTAAAATTATTTTCCCGTAAAATGAGACAACACAACCCTTAGAGGTACCAATTTTGGCATTATAGGATGATTCAATTCTCTCCACACGTAATTGATTTTCAAACCTAATCATGAGTTCAATGAAGACGTAGAACAAATTTAAGAGTGTTCGATTGTATCCATTTAAAACGATTGATGAAGACTTTAGTCACATAAAGAGTTCTTCAAAGACTTTAACGTAATCGAACCATCAAAAGATGACTTCAATAATAAATATAATCAGTATGATTGTTAAGAAGTTAATCGTACATTTTATATAACAATCCTAGTTTATATGTCTATATAAATAGATTATATAGATGGGCTTTATATTAGATTTTATCACTCTCAACCTGGGTGGATGAAATTATTTTATATAAAAAATATATTGAAAAAATATAATGAATGACTGAATATAGGATAAGTGAAAAAGATTTAGATACAAATTCATTCATTAGTCTTATGTTTGATTTTTTAAGAAGTTATTTTTAGTTCATTATTTTAAAAATTATATAATAGTATAAAAAATATCGTTAAAATAATATTTATTATCCCTTGGCCTAAAAGACAAAAAAAATCGTTAATTGAATTAGAATCTTATTAACAGATGAGTCAACTTATTCAAGAGTATTAGAAATAGTTTTTGTGGCCATGTAAACGAATCAAACGTTCAGTTATCGGTTTGCGAATCGTTCGGCGGGAATTTCGTTATGTTCTTTTATTTATTAAACGAACAAATATGAATAAGATTTTATGTTCATTTAATTAAAATGAACGAACACGGACAAATACCTCATTCTTTCATTTACGTTCATGAATGTTCGATAATATGTTAATTAATTTATGGTTGTTTGTTTATGTTCTTTCATTTATACTCGGTCTAATCTCCAAATCCGTTTAAAATATCAAGATTTAATAAATTTTAACCTTAGACCCATTAATATTTTAAAACCCAATTAATTTTAAATCCAAATTAAAAAAATACCCAAATCAATTAAAGAAAATATAAATTCTAAAACTATTTGGGAAAAAAACTTTTCTCAAATAAAAACCTGATTAATTTTATGTTTGTTCATTTATGTTTGTTTATGCTTGTTCGTTTTTGTTCGTTTACATTCTTTTGTTTTTGTTCGTTTATCATTTTAACGAACGGATATGAACTAACATGAACAAGCTACATTCCTTAATTAACGAATAAGAAATTTCATTTGTTTAGTTGTTCTTGTTCGTTCGGCTAAAATTAAATGAATGAACGTAAACATACCCTCGTTTGTGTTCATTTGCGGGCATAAATTTTTTATTTTATAAAGTTGAGGAACATCAAGTTGCAGTTTTTAGCAAAATTTTCAGAAAACATAAGCTGATATTTGAAAGGAAAGAAAAGAAAAATTGATGTAATGAAAGGCTCAGTAATTACCTAAAAAGTTAGATCAAATCCCTAACTATACGTATTATACATAGGTATAATTAATGTTAAAATTAGCTCCTAACGGTTACTAGAATGACCATTTTAGCTCATTTTTTTATGTATTTTGGCTCTAACATTTTATTTTGAGGCAAAAAAGCTCCCTCTATATATGTAAAATGTTAGTTAACACACCATTAACGTTCCAAAATAGGGGTTTTTTTATCCTAAAATAAAATGTTTGGGGCCAAAATATTCTAGAAAAAGGGAATAAGGGTTAAAGTGACTATTCTTTCAAATATTAAGGTCCTTTTATGTTAAAATGAAATGTTGGAGTAAAAATGCTATTTTTCATTTCGATAAACGTTAGATACTAATTTTGATATTAAGCCTTATGTAGATTGGTAAGTTGAGTATCAAAGGAAAGGAATTAATGAAAATATATTAAAAAGATTTGAAAACATTCAATCAAGATATCCTTTCCTTGATTCGCTACACATAGTGTCCTATAAATCACCAACCTTCATTCTCATTCTTCCATACCCTAATATTTCCTGCTACTCCTTCCTCTTCAAAATGTTCAACTTCTCCTGCAACTTCTTCTTCTTCCTCATACTCATTTTCTCAGGTTTTCATTTTCACATCTCAAATTCCATTTTTTTTAAAATCCCATGATTTATTTTTATTAATAATCCTCAATTTTTAAATTGTTGCAGTTTCTTTGAAGATGCAGCATGTTCAAGGGCAAGAGATTTGCCATGGCTAAATCCATGGTAATGGTTCTTGCGATGCTGGAACCTGCAACAACCAATGTGCTCAATCTTTCCTAGGAAGCATGGGAAGTTGTGTTCAGACCTATATCAACCGTTATTCTTGTCAATGTTCATGGACCTGCAGTTAGTGAAACGATTTAACCTATTTTATCTTCTTCATTTCTCTTGTTTATGCAATAAAACTACTACTTTTTTGCATTGAAATAATATTCTTGTCAATGTTCATGGACCTGCAGTTTGGGGGTGTGTTAACTTCCTAAAAAGGCTACTTTTAAGGTTTTTTTCACTTAAGTTATTGTTTGTTTAAAAGCTCATTTTAGGCATTTTAGGATCATGTAATTGCATATAGTTGCATTAGTGGTGGTAGTGCTATTTTATTTCTTAATGATGCTACTTGAAGAAAATGTGCAGTTTGTTTGTGGTGTGCAGGGAATAACAAGCAAAAAGGACTAGATGGGAAGTAATGCCGCGACATCACATGTTGCTGAAGCATATTGAAATGCCTTGGCATTTCTGGTGCAGAAAATGATAAAAAGATACAGTTGTACGAGGACATCTGGCTCTGCTCGTGAAATGATTGATGTAACCGCCTGCCAGAGCTGCTATGGGACCACTGCCACCTGGAGGATAAGATTCATGCTTATGGTGTGATTCTAGGGGTATGAGGGGTATTTTGCACCCAACAACCTCATCATTACCCCTAGATATTTTTATTATATATTACACCTCAAGTGAGACATTGAAAAGAAGACGGGAAGAAGAGGCACACGCATAGAGCAGAAAAAAATCATATTTTTATTTCATTTTCCTTTTCTTCTTCCTTGGGTTTTCCTCCATTGATTAAGCTCCAAGGAGTGGCGAGCTAGGTTCCG